ATCCAAGCAATTTCTTTGTTTGCCTACAAATTGCAATAACTTATAAGCAGAAGAGAAAGGGAAGTAAAAGGTAAGACAAGCAAACAGGATTCCTTAGAATTCAAACTGTCGCTATGATGAAAAATCATTGATTTATGGGCTTTTATTACCTGCATTTAGCGTAACCCAGGATTAACGACGTGGACGTAGCAGACATTTAATCCCTTTTTTNTTTAAAATCCGTTCATTCGTTTTAAAGTTATGGCGGTTCGAAATTTTTTTTGCAAAAAACTTTGACCCCTGAGAGTATGGCAACCCCGCATTGCACAGACCTAACACCATATTTTTTATTTTAGGTTTTACATGTACTATAAGATATATCATTGCCAAAAATAATAAAGAANTCATTCGTTGCTCAAAATGCTGCTAAGTCATTCCACTGGAACAACAATCAAGTTTCCATTCATACATGTGCTGAAACTGCACATGGGAAAGGTCCTTGNATTTAAAAAAATTATTTTTCTATGAAATATTAATTTAAAATTTTTTTATGATACACAGTTTTAAAGTCAAATAAAGTTTGTACAAAAAAGTCTCATGGCATTTTAAAATCCGTTCATTCGTTTTAAAGTTATGGCGGTTCGAAATTTTTTTTGCAAAAAACTTTGACCCCTGAGAGTATGGCAACCCCGCATTGCACAGACCTAACACCATATTTTTTATTTTAGGTTTTACATGTACTATAAGATATATCATTGCCAAAAATAATAAAGAACTTTTTTTTCGAGTGGCTTTTCTTGCAGAGAATGCCTAATACATACATTTATTACTTTTCATATCATTTCAAGTCTATTACATGCGCCCTACGCTTTTCATTTTCAATCTCATAAATTGTTTNGAACCAAAAATAATAAAAAAAAATATAAAAAAATACAAAAAAAGTTTAAAAATTATAAATATAAAAAAATAAAATAAAAAAGGATTAAATGTCTGCTACGTCCACGTCGTTAATCCTGGGTTACGCTAAATGCAGATAATAAAAGCCCATAAATCAATGATTTTTCATCATAGCGACAGTTAAGCTGAAATTAGTCAAGAACGTAAACCTACCGGTACGTAAACCCGAGTCAGCTGACACGATCTGTCTTACCAAAGCGCCATGTAAATGAAAACTCAACACCGCAGAATTTTTCTGTAGTTGTAGCCCGTAGCGCAGAAATCTTCGGAATTTAGATTTTTCCGTGTCANCCCTACGCTTTTCATTTTCAATCTCATAAATTGTTTATAATGACTGCTGAATATTATTTTCTATGTTTTAGTCCATTTATAAAAGCGTGGTATATTAAAAAGTTTATTTTATTTTATATATTTATTTACTCATGCTAATCGGGTTATCTACTTAAGTCCTACTGTATCTAAAGGTGAGAATTTCTAAAATGTACTTAAATGCATTCGAAATATACTTCTTTTTAGTCTTGTCTGTATAAAATTTTGTAATAGATATTAAAATAATTCAACGATATTAATAGATTGGTGCTTATACATATTAATTCGGCACTCCCAGGCATGCGTTCGTCTCTGTCTAGCCCTTCGAAATTTTTTGCTGGGGCAAATTTTACTCCTACCGAAACCAAAGGTGTATACACATCAATATTTCAACGAAATTCTGATACATAAGTATTGCATTTTATTAGACTTTATTTATATTCTGTTTCACTATACGCCCATGTACATATATATGAGTAGTCCACTTGCAAAGTGCGCTATGCAAAATTTTTTAGACTTTTAGTTTTTGGTGGGTAACGTACCAGTATTTAAAGTAGTTTCATGTCCACTAACAACACAGTGCAAAATCTTTCTATATTCTGTAAAAAGTAGCATCAAATGTTAACTACTCTTGCAAAAGTCGCTATAATGTAGCATCAAATGTGGTAGCTTCGGTTCCTACTGGAAGAGGTAGCAGCAGACCAATATTCATGGAGGAGAAAACGCGAAAAGCTAAAAAAAACCTGGCTATGTAAGAATTACTGTTTCAAAACTTGCTATATTAAATTATTAAATATAAAATTTGCAAAGACTACCATACTGCAATTTTATTTTGTAATGTTATTAGGCGCTTATTTATCAAAATTTTCAGGTAATAAAAAAAATATACAGTTTATATGTTACTTGTTGACGTTTTTTTTTTAATTTATGGCTTACTTTTATAAAATCACATAACGCTGTAGATGTAGTGCATATTTTTAAGCGCTATATTTAACTACTTCCGGTGAGGCGACATCTACCTCTAGTGTCTAATTGTATGTTCCTTAATACGATTCCTACCGACGAGGTTGATGTCTAGACTAGGTTGTATACAAAAGCTTTGCTGTAATACCTTTGCTATAATAGGTGTCTGGACAAATGACATTGTAAGTTGTGAAAAGCGTTGTAAAATTTTGATGAATTATATGTATGTCGCCGTTTAAAGTACAAAACCGTATACCAACATAATGCAAAACCGAGTCATGGGCGTCGCTACCTAGGGCCCCCTACCTTTCAAGTTTAGTGAGAAAGAAACAGAGAAAGATTTTGTGGAAGATTTACGGACACACAATACACATTGCAGCAACCGCCGCACAGTGCGTAATTTCGGCGATGTAGGGGCAGAACCCATCAATTATTTAAGAGGAAAAATTATAATGATATCCGATGAATGCTATGAGGAAGTAACTTATATAAAATCGTTTATTGAAAAATGTACATTAAAGTAGAAAAAATGCCGCCCTTAGAAAAATGTAGTTTATTTTTTAAAGATACTATTGAACACGAACGAAAAGCAAACTTGCTAAAATTTTTGTAATACATATGTATGTGCAATCCCATCCCACAATGCGAATGTTGAGCTAGTTGTTTCTCTTATTTCATCACAATGGTCTAAAGAGAGAAACTCGCTTAATATTGGCACTGTGGAAAGTATCGTTCAGTGCAAGTTCAACTTTAAAATGGCGAGCACTGAATTTTACCATTATGTAAAAAATTAACACAAACTTTTAAGCAAAGTTAAAACTAGTGAAAAATACGAATGGTATACGCGAAAAGAGACCCTATAATATGAGTTAGTTACGTAAAAATGTGTTAAATACTTTTTGTTTTGTTTGCTTCCACTTACGTTAACTGAACTGAACTTTTTCTTTGATCTCTAACGGTTATGTTGTTTTTATTGTAAGTCAATCATATTTGGATATTTTGAAACGGTTATTGTTTTGTTTGTTTATATGTTAGGGTGGCCAAAAAGAGTAAACCCGGAATTTTAATACTAACTCACTAGGATGGGGTAGACCCAAAATGCAGGGTGTGGATGAAGCGTAATACAGTTCGTGGGCGATCCCGTCTGCCTAGCCACTCCCACATCAAGACCGTAGTGCGCGATATCGCATCCTTCAGCAGGTGACACTGTTTCCACAGAACTTTACGGATCTAGACCCGGAGGGAGTCAAATCTTCCCTCTCCCCTTAATCCAGGGTGTCATGCGACTGTATTCTAACGGCGCCTCCCGGATACCTGTCCGCCTCCGGGAGTAACGGTGGGCTTGCTGCGGCAAGGGGCTCTGCCGTGGTCGACCGTTCTTTTCCCCTTCAACTTTTTACGGTCACCGAAAGGTCTCATCTGAGTAGATGGCAAAAGACACAGATGATATGGAAAATTTTAAAAGAGCCTCGGATTCCTCACGTATATAAGTGCTGCCGTCGGAGACGGCAAGAAAACAAAGTCCAAAATCTCGGAAACCGCTTTGACGGCACCTATTGGACCTAAACGGTCCCATCTAACCTCTTTCAGGTCACCTGCACCGTCGGAGCGAAAAGCTAAACCCCCCGTGGACGAG